CTCTCTCTCTCTGTCTCTCTCTCTCTTTCTCTCTTTCTCTCTCTCTCGTTGAAGCAGTACTTATAACTTGTTGCGAGACCTTAGTTTGTGTGTGCTGTGTGCTGCAAGTGTCAGTGATGCCTGTAATCGGGCGTAAAGGGTGCCTTTTGGTAATCCTAAGTCTATGTTTTGCGCTCTGGGCTGTGGTGCCGCTGTCGAGGAAATCACGGCTCGTGTCGTGTTGTGGTCGTCACGTTTGTTGAAGAGCATATCATAAACCTTCAAACAGCATCGATACATATTCGTTGGGCTGTTCGAAATGGAAGATGAGCAACACGTGGAAGTATAATGCATCGTAAACAACGTCTTTACCGCGGATGATTGAACGCGCCTTGACCCCCTCCCCCGCAATGACACCCGACAACTACACACCGGAGCCCCCTCCTCACTCTCGCACGCCCACCCCCCACCGACCCATACCCTTTACCACACGTCCTTAATTAAGGGACAAAAGGTGGCACTTCACCTTCACGGTGCTGGCGGCGGCACACCTAGTCCTCATGTGCTTGGCGTTCTTGGCGTCCAAGAGGAGCCGTACTTCTGTCGAGCCACCACCACCAGCTCCAGCGAGTGGCACTGCCACGGCGGCGGGAGGCTTGTACGAGGATGGTGAGGACTGGTGGAACTGTTCGAGATTCGCGCTGCTGGGGGCGCAAGCCTTGCGGCCGATGATGCTCATCAGCAACCTCAAGACCATCCGGAGGGTGTTCACGAACGTGCTCAGGTGAATCCAGAAAGCCAGGCAGCCAGGCAGCTATTATTCCCGTTTTCCTCCTCGACGAGTGGGATTGTTGTGATTCGAATGATTGTCGTCGTTTGCGGCGTCAGGATAGCGGTTTTAAGATTTCGTTTCGTGGTCTTGGGGGGCGGGTGTTGGATTACGTACGGAACTTGGCACTATGCAGCAATCTCTGTTGAAGTCCATTCGGAGAGGGCTGTTCACGAACTCGCTCGAGTGAACGTCCATCGTCAACCGGATTGTGTTTTGCCCCAGACCATACCATACCATTTGACACACGGGTGTGGGATGCGATGTTCACGATAGTGTCCCGTCGAAACTTCTGTGGCACGCACAAGCCCCACGTGGGAAACCTTGGTCCTCCTTGCTTGTGTGAGTTGGTACCATACTCCGTGTTATACATTGCTGTGTGATACATTGCTGTGTGATACACTGCTGTGTGATACACTGCTGTGTGATACACCGCTGTGTGATACACTGCTGTGTGATACACCGCTGTGTGATACACTGCTGTGTGATACACCGCTGTGTGATACACCGCTGTGTGATACACTGCTGTGTGATACACCGCTGTGTGATACACTGCTGTGTGATACACTGCTGTGTGATACCTGTGCGCCTCTCCTTGGCCTCTGACTTGCTCCACACATACCTCTCTCCCAAGCCGCGTGTCCCCTGCAGTAGGTCGTAAACTGTACATACAGTAGCCTGGTACTGGAAGATTCGCCGACTTGGCTTCAGTAAAAAGTGCCCCCAACGCATTTGGGGACACTCTCAATACTGAAGCCAAGTAAGCCTTCTTCCCCCTGCACTGTACAGCCTCTCCCAATGAGCGGACGCGATTATTTCTGGACCCATAACCTGTAACTAGCTGCGTACTAGAAGGGTTAAGGTGTAGTACCACATGTCTCAAACCCAATTCCGACCCCGACCCCCATCTCCGAATTCAGCCCTAATCCCGAACCCAAATCTCAACTCCGACGTCGACCCCACCTGCGACCTCAACCCGACCCTGACACCAACATCAACACCGCACCCAACTCCAACCCCCACTGCTGTTCAACCAACGCACTGACCAGGACTGCGAAGCGTACGGGTAGCATCCTGGTGCTGGGAGCGGTGGTGCTCGCCTTCTACTCCGTGTTGGGTATCAACCTCTTCAATTCAAAGCAGGTGACTGATGCAGCCGTAGGAGAGAAGGCTGTCCTTTTTCTCGTTACTGCTTTGTCAATAGGGTTCGGTTCTGGTGCTTGTTTTCGGTGCCACTTCGTTTCTCTCGCACTCATGGTGTTTTCCTTTCCGGAGCACCGCTTTTCATCTTCACTCGATCTAGAACAGCGGGCATGCCACGTGTATTCGCCGAACGCGTAGCGCACGCAGAACGTCATGGTTAGCGTGCCTGCTGGCTCGCCAGACACTCCTTTCTGCCCAGTTTTGGGACGTGTGTGCGTGTGTGTTTGGTGATTAGTTCGCTATGGCTTGCCAGAGACGCACCATGTTGCCGCCACAGAACCAATTAACTCCGTCTGGCTTGTTTTGTTTTCGTTGTCACACCGGTCGTGTTCCACGAGTGACTGTGTACATCGGTGGGTGTAGCGTACAGCTTGTATTGGGTTACATTGGTTCTGCAATTTTTCACGCGAGTGTATTGGGTTGTAGCAGAAGCACACGAACGTCGACATTGAACGCGAGTCCCTGTTGTTGCTGTTGTTGTTCATTCTCGGCGTTTTTTGCTTCGATTCTCATGTACTTTACTTCGATTCTCATGGTTTTACCGTCGATTCTCACGGTTTTTACTTCAATTCTCATAGTTTTTGCTTGGATTATCATGTTGTTTACTTCAATCCGCGTGGCATGGCTGCCGATGACGACGATGGTAACAGCAACGAAACAACAACCCTTGACATGGTAAATAGGTGAAAGGCTACACGGACGACGGAGACAACTTCAACAATTTCGGCAGCTCTCTCCTGTCCCTGTTCGTGCTCGTCACCGAGGAGAACTTTCCCATGGTAGCCGACCCGTCCTTCACGCAAAGGCCACTGGTGAGACAAGACAAAAAATGCTTTACAATAGCTTTCAACATTTGAACATTGAACAACGACAGTTCGCTACTGTCTTTTTGCTTGCTTCCCTTCCTTTTCTCCGCATTTTCTCACTAAGGTAACAACTTACGATGAAAGAAGAAGGCAAAGATGACGAAACAGGGCTTGCTTTTTTTGTTGTTGAAACGGCTCAGTGTACGATGGGCACTGACTGCTGTCGCGCACCGACGATACAACGCAATATGAACGTGGTGTATGTTTGTTGTTGTCGCATACACGAGAAGGAACAGTCGCCGAAGCTTTTATTTGCATTCGACTAGTACTGTCTATGTGCCAGCCTTTGTTTTTGTATTATTTCTGGATCTCCCTTGAGTTGGCCCTCTGCCGTATTTCGTTTACTCATCGAACCAATCGTCTTCGTTTCCAGATTCATTGACCACTTGCTTTCAGCCGCATCCCCCCCTAATACCCTCGAATATTGATCGGGGCACGGTTACCGCTTAGTCCCCCTGATGTCCCTTTTCAACCCTTGCTCATTTTTCTGTCTTGGTTTCACACTCCTATTAACTTGATGCTCCTTGGGGGTCCCATGTATGACACATGGTGTGGTATGGTATTGTCCCGCAGGTGGCGTTTCCGTTCTTCGTGTCGTTCTTGCTCCTCGTCCTCGTCGTGATCCTGCCGCTGCTTCTCGGGATCGTTCTAGACGCCTACGCCCAGCAGCACGCTCGGCAGCACGAGCGGTACAGGCGAAAGGTGTGCACACGGAAAAATCACAATACTATTACTTTTGTAACAAGTATGGGGATTGTGGCTACACGTGGGATCTTGTACAGCGCTTATGCGCACTGTACCTGTTCGATGTATGCCGTACTGCTGTACTACTACCACGCGGCTTCGTTCTGCACCAAACGAATGGGGTCAGGCGGGTTTGGAGATTGCGTCCGTCTTGACGCTCATTTTCTCAACACTCTGTCAACGGCAGAGAAGAAAGTTCCAAAGATTTAATGCATTCGAACTCACGGCATGGTAGTTTCAAAGCATGCAGTCCACAGCTATATGCATAGCAGGAAGGGGAAGTGTTTCTTCTGAGAGAGGGGGGCTCCAAGTCGATTGTGCCGCCCGTGTCCGTTCCGGACTACAACAGTCCGGAATTCCGGGGTAACTTTTGTCTTGTGGTTTGTTCGCTAGTTCACCGGGCTCGAAACAAGTTGGGTGCGATATTTTTGCTTTCGAAACCATGATACACGGGAATTTTTTGTTGAAAACGTTTTTTTGATAACGGATTGTTCCATTGCTGGCTCTCTAGGCTCGAAACGCTTTGCTGGCGGCGTACTTCGTCTTGGACGGCGACGGTGTGGAGGGCCTTAGCCGTGACCAGCTCGTCGGCGTTCTCACTGTCGAGGCAGGCGTAGGCATCGACAGAGAACAGGTGCGAAGGGGTGAAGAAAGGCGTAAATGCAAGTGATGATCATAAGACTGCTCAAGAGAGGGGGGGGTTGTACTTAATGTAAACGCAGGCATCATGAGACTACGTCGGAGACTCCGGGGAGGGGGCGGGTACTCAAAGTCGCGCATGCCGCAGTCGTTTGACTGTTGGCCTCGCATCCCTACAAGTACAAAGCCGGGACGGAGCACGCCGGGTTCTCACCGGACCAGACTCTCACATCACCAAGCACGAAGCGCCGTGAGGTATTCGGCGAGTCGCATGAAGGGTGCGCTGCATCCTGCTACGGGTGTTCGGCTCCGGGGGGAGGGGGGGTGCACTCATGGAAACGCATGATGCGGCAGTCGGTAGACTATTGACCTCGCATGCCTACGTTGCCGGGACGGAGCGATATGCTGTGTTTTACGCCGGCTCTGCTACGTCTCACAAGGATGAAGGAGAAGCTAAATAGTCATCGCCCTTGCATTTGCAGTACCAAACCAGGCCAGAAAGGAGTGTTCTTGCGATTTTTTAGGTTGTGGGGTTTAGCTATAAAGGTTGCCGGGATGTTCATGTACCAGAGTATCGTTGCCCCAAATTTCTGCGATATTCCTGCCGCTTGCGACATAACAAGATATCGGACATGCGTGTGCGTAGGTTCCACCGCGTAGTCATAGTGACACGGGAATTTGTCGGAAACTTGTGCGTCGTCGATGCAGGCAGAGCAGCTGTGGCACGTGCTTGTACCAGAAGACGAAGACGACTTCGTATACTCCCGAAGCTCCTCCGTCCCCATCGGCAACGACCGATTTGGCGAAGGTTCCACAACCCCTGCCAACAACAACAGCGGCGACGACAACGATGTCGGGAAGAAAAACAGCCGTACCAGCAGCAGCAGCAGCAGCAGCAGCGGCCACGCTGCCAAGGACGGGTTTCGAACGGCTCGCGCGAGGGCGCGCTCACTTCCGCATGGGCCAGGCGGCGGCGGCGGCCACAGCAACAGCAACGGCAACGTGGGGCGCGGTGTACGTGGCGGTAGTGGCCGTCGATTGGACGTGTATGCCTTCTTGCGCCTGGCGGACCTGCTACACGTCAAGGTCGCTGAATCTGGAGAGGGCGGCGACGGCGCGGAAGGGGGACGGACGTGCTTCATCGCCGGGTACGGTGATGAGTTGTTCGGATCGGCTCACGGAGGACAAAGGTGGGACGGAGGGGAGGGGACACACGGAGCGGGGTCTTTGGGCGATGGTAAGTACAGCTTCCGGGAGGACGAAGAAGATCTTGAGGGAGGAGGAGGGCAGGAGCAGGAGCGCCAAAAGGTTTGCTGGTGTCCGAGAGACAAGCGTGGAAACAGCGACAGCACCAACAACAGCGAGAGACGGCGTGCCGACAGCGAGGGTTGCAGTGGAGATGGTGATTCCGTCGCCTTTTGTCCCCAACGGAGGCTGAAGCGGCTAGCCCATCGGATGGAAGAGCAGGCGAGGGCCGCGGCGAGAGACATGGTGGGGCGGGAGTGGTTCAGCCTGATGTCGAAGGGTATTGGCGTTCTGCTGGCAATGCTGGCGGTGACTTGGACCCCACGATCGCAGCTACGCTACGACAAGTGTCCGTTGGGGGAGGGAGAGGAGGTGTGCAACAAGCCACACGAGAGTGAAGTGGCCTTCCTGCGGGAGGACTTGTTCAGGCGGCTGGAGGGACTCGTGCTATTGGCGTTTTCTTTTGAGATGGCGGCCAAGGTATCTATCTATTTATCTATCTAGACTATAGGCAATCAAATCTGTCTATCTATCTACTTTTGTCTGGCTGCCTATCCATATGTCCGGTGACGATCTATGTATGCTTTCATTTTCGACGGGCCTAGGATGGATTTAGGGACATATCTCTCCTTTGTTGGCTGGACATGCACCTAAACCCGATCTTCTGTCTTTCCAAAACTTGGACATGGCCGTTGGCGGTAAGACCATGAAAGACGATTTGCTTGCTTGTGGCAAAGACAGGCAGCCAGGCAGGCAAACAGACGGCTTCGAGTGAGAGGGTGTTGGCTAACGCTAGACAACAGCGTGGACCGAAGTTAATCAGATGCAAGCGGCGTAGATGGAAGTTCTTCCCGAACGGGAGTATTTGGAAGAATTTGTAACGCTAACGACATAGCACCACGTACGAAAACATCGCTATGTTATCCTTGACTCTTCATCTTCAGATATAGAATTACTTGTTTTCTGTTTCTGTAGGAAACATATGTAAATATATTCTAGCGAACAACAACAACAACAACAACAACAACAACAACAAATACTTTGAACTTTCTCTCCCCTGGCAGGTGCTAGCGGTCGGGGGCAGGCGCCTCTTGCGTCTCCACTGGGCACACAGGTTCGACTTGATCATCCTCGCGACGTGCTTGGCGTCGTACCTCTTCGTGGGCATGCCGGGCAACAGACGAGCCCTCTACGTCGATCACCACCCCTTGTTGAGCGACGTCATCGAGCTGCCGATGGCCCTTGCGGTGCTCAGGTGCGATGGTGTGGTCTATCTGCCGTCTTTGGTTCTTGCAAAATGTTTCCCTGCGTGCTTGGGTGCTTGCCGCACAGAGTGTGCTCGTCGAAGTTGGTGGTGGTAGTGGTGTTGGTGACTTTGATTTCACTGGCGCACCGCTTGTTCTCATATTTTGTTCGTCTGTTGTTGTTGGAGTGTGTGTCGCGCACACCATGGCTTTCGGTGGTTCGGTGTATGAAGTAGTAGGATTAATCCAATCGGACGCTGGGTCAAAGAATGTGACCATCCTCGCGTTCCTACATGCACGAAGCCGGGATTTGTTTGTTCCGCTGAATTAACTGATTGCTGTGTTACTGTGTAAACACGGAGGTGCTGGTGATATCCGTCTGGTACGGTTTCGGGTGTTGGATTTGCACGGCATGTACACACGGGCGCTTTGTTAAACTTTCGTTTGATTGTTGCACCATCAGTAGTGCAGCATGTGCGATGCGGACACTGCTGTGGTGCTAGGTGTCGTGAAAACAGTCGCTTGCCACCACGTTGCTTCCGACGAGACCAGGCATTCAAATAGTTACCGGTATACCGTACCACCTTCATGATCCCCGTCTGTGTTTGTGGAAAGTTGTCCCCGACAATGAACGCCTTTTCTCCTTGTTGTACCCCTGAGTGCCTCCGTTTCCTGTGCTGCCATCGTTCTTGAAACGCGCGTTTGGATTGGTTGAATGAGACAGGTTGGTGACGGTCTTCCCCCAGCTTCGGAAGCTGCTCGAGACCATGTCGACGGTGGCGGGCATGCTGATGAAGATCATGGTGCTGTATTCTTGCGTGTCGTACACCTTCGCTACGCTAGGCATGGCCATCTTTTCCAACGCAAGGAGCGACCTGTTGGAACCAAGGTCAGGGCTGAGAATGGGTGGTTCAGATATAGCGGGGAATGTAGAGATGGGCTTTGGATGTGGGGTACGGAAACGCGTGATGTATCTGTTAATCAAGGTATGATAAGTGGGTATTCAGTCTTTGGTGCGTGGGTGTATTCTCGTTTCGACAAGAAAGGGTTGTTGTGTGTGTCTACGTGCTTCTTCAGGCCTATCTTCAATCGGTTAGCAGTTTGCCGTTTGGGCAATACAATTTTACACCTATCTGGCACCTATCTACCGTAGCAGCTGATGCTGTTCAACGCCTCGATTGGCGAATTTACGTAGTGTGCAGCCTGTCCATCTCTATTCAGCCCACATGCCATGGTACACATTTTCAACTTCCGCTTTCCACCTCTGGTGGGTTGTGGCAAACCCTTCTTGAGCGTCTTTTGGCCGTCTACTCTCCAACTTCATTCATTGTGTCCACACACCTCTCTTATAGGGCGGGTATGTGCCAGGCCGGTTCACCCGCGCATTAGCGGGCACCCGTTCCATCCATGGTGTACGGAATACTTGCTCGTTCTATCTGTGCCAAGCAAGATATTTCTCCCGCACCATGCCCGCCACCCGCCCTGTCAAGGAACCCTGACTCTGTTCACCGAATTTTCAGTCTTTTGTCCACTTCCTGCCAGGCAGCATGCTACCCGTCCACCTCTTTTGGCCACCCTTTTGTCCGCCACCCCCACAACCCCCGGTTGGCTGTTCTCGTTGCCTAGGTACTCGTTCTCCACGCTTCCCGAGGCCGCCATGACACTCTTCTTCTTGACCGTTTCCAACAACTGGAACGACCTGCTCTACCCTCTAGTCGACTCGGTGAGGACCATCCCATCCCAACTGTTTATAGTATGTTGTTGTTGTTGTTGTTGTTGTTGTTATTTTCATATTTAAGGCACCGTGGTTTTGTACCGAGTTAGTCCTTGGAAGATGCTCTACCCTCTAGTTGACTACATCGTCCAGTCGGTGAGAGATCGATTGACAGGATTGATCTCTTCCACGGGCGCCGAGACCACCATTCATTTTGTCATCCGTGGTCATTCACCGTACCCTTGGCGATAGAACCGGGTTAGTCCATGGAAGATGCCCTTCCCAATAGTCGACTAGTCGACTCGGTGGGAGGACGACCGATCCATCTTTTCCACTGGTGCCGTGATCCACCATCCCATTGGTTTTGAACACTTTTCACTTTCTTGAAACCGTCATGTTTTACTGTGATCATGATGATAGAAAGGGGGTTAGTCCATGGAAAATGCAACCCACCTCGCTCGCCCCCCCCCCCCCCCCCACCGATCGCACCTTTTTGCGCTGTTCACAACCCCTTTTGGTTGTACCAAAGAATCCCCTGGGCCGCTGGTCTGCGATCTACTTCGTGGCGTACATGCTGTTCTGCGCCACCATGATGCTGGACGTCCTCACCGGCGTGGTGATCGAAGGCTTCCGCGTCTCCACCAAGGGCCCGGAGCAAGCACAAGAGCTAGGGTTACGGTTAGCCTCCACGGCGTCAGCTGGAGCCGGTGACGCCACTGGTCGGCCCACGCTCGCCCGAAGCGATGACGGTGATTCTGGCGGCGACGGGGGCGCGAGCTCTGGCAACAGCGTCGGGGATGACGAGGACGACACCCATGGTGAGGAGCGTTGATGTGGGTGTATTCATATAACCGCGGGCCGTGGTCGTTAGACCGGGGCGGGGGGGCGGGGGGTACTCATAGTCGTGTACGCCGTAGTCGTTAGACCATTGACCTCGCATCCCTACAAAGCCGGGACGGAGCACGCCGGGTTCTCACCGGACCAGGCTCTCACATCACCAAGCGCGAAGCGCCGTGAGGTATTCGGCGAGTCGCATGCAGGGTGAGCTGCATCCTGCTAAGGGTGTTCGGCATCTTGTGCTTACTTCCTTGCGTACGGATGACAGCGACTTACAATATTTAGTTTATTTTCTGGTACTTTCACCCCGAGAGACAGTAATAAGCACTGTGTAACTGCCTCGAGGGTGCTTGACCAATTTTAACACAACGTGTTGCGATCATCCCCCTTTGCGCGGAGTGAGGCTTCTCGACCCCACACAACACAATCTACTCGACCACCATTATGGTTGCCGCAAAAAATAAACGGAGGTAAAAAAAATGCGGTCACCTGATTACCGAGTGCACGAAGTGATCGGCTTGTTTTACAACGTCATTGCCAGCGACGAAAACCCAACCGCGATGGCGTGTGCTTGGGGGGGGAGGGTAGCAGGGGGGATGGGGTTGTTTGCCTGTCTTGGTGTGAATAGCGTTGACCGTGATCGAATCGATGCTGAAAGGGGGACGAGAACTCTAACCCTGATGAAGCCACTTCGTTGCACCAGTCGTAAGCATGGGTGGCGCCCCCTGTGATGACCAAAACTGTTAACCCTAACCTGTTGAGTCTGTTGACTTGTGGCTATTCCCAACCCTTTTTCCATGGCAGGCGGTGTAGGAGTCTTGGGCGGCGGCCAGCGGCAACAACAGCAGCGGCGGGGGCACCGCACAGGCGCGAGAAGAGGCCAGCTGACTCGAAAGGCCAGCCAGCGCAAGTACACGCAGGTCAGGGCGGAAGACATGTTCCGCTCCGAAGGAAAGGTGATCAAGATGAACATTCGGTGATAGGTCTTATCGGCCCTTGGGGTAGGTTGTGGTTGTAACCTTAACAACCCTAACTTAGGGTTACCTTAACAACCCTAACTTAGGGTTACCTTAACAACCCTAACTTAGGGTTACCTTAACAACCCTAACTTAGGGTTACCTTAACAACCCTAACTTAGGGTTACCTTAACAACCCTAACTTAGGGTTACCTTAACAACCCTAACTTAGGGTTACCTTAACAACCCTAACTTAGAGTTACCTTAACAACCCTAACTTAGGGTTACCTTAACAACCCTAACTTAGGGTTACCTTAACAACCCTAACTTAGGGTAACCTTGACAACCCTAACTTAGGGTTACCTTAACAACCCTAACTTAGGGTTACCTTAACAACCCTAACTTAGGGTTACCTTAACAACCCTAACTTAGGGTTACCTTGACAACCCTAACTTAGAGTTACCTTGACAACCCTAACTTAGGGTTACCTTAACAACCCTAACTTAGGGTTACCTTGACAACCCTAACTTAGGGTTACCTTGACAACCCTAACTTAGGGTTACCTTAACAACCCTAACTTAGGGTTACCGCAGTCTTGGGTTAATTCAACCCAAGACCTATTCTAACTTAGGGCTAACCCTAACCCCAACCCTAACCCTAACCCTAGGGGTACATGATACTTAGAATACTAAGGTAACCTGAGGCTTAGGTTGGACGACCCCTAATGTAACCGTAGGGGTAGTAAGCCTAAGATAACCCAACCGCAAGACATGCCGAAGGGAAGGTGAGTACAATCTTGGATGTCATTTGCATGTGCATTTGAATGTTTGTTGTGTACTCGTTCGTTGTTTTCTGTAAAACGCAGGTTATTTTGTTGTTGTTTTTGTTGTTCTTGTCGGATCGGTCAAATCTTGAGCTTGTTGCAGCTTGAACAGTGTACTACAGGCAAGCAAAGAACGCCGCTCGATCTTTTCGATCAATAGTTTTTTTGTAACTAATGTGTTTCGGTGTGTCACTGGGTGTGTTCTGAAATGTTAGCAGCAGCACCGACGACATATTTTTTCCCACATGTGCAGCGCTTGCACATCAGTGTGTCAGTATGACGCATGTCTTGGCGTTCATCTTCTGTCTTGTCAAGGCGTGGCGTTGATACCTTGGGTATCGTTTTTGTTATTGCTGTTGCTGTTGCTGTTGCTGTTGTTGCCGCCGCCCCCGCTGCTGCTGCTGCTGCTGCTGCTGCTGCTTACTTTCTGGCCATGGAACGCTCCCTTCCCGATCACCCGGCTGTGGCTTGTTTGGTGCACACTCCAGGGGTGGAGAGCGCAGGGTGTGTGCCACGAGGACGACGTCCGAGAGCTGGACGAGGCCGTGAAAGCGGTAGAAAAGAGACTGCACCAGGCATGGTGAGAAAGAGAGGACGAAAGATATTCGTGTCTCTTCACGGCGCATCCTCGCGTCTTCTAATCGGATGTTCTTGGAAAATGGTGGTCAAGATACGAAGAATAAGGCGTGGATGGCCTCCTTCGCGAGAGCATACTCACATAGCATACATGCTGTAGCCTTCCTGATTGTTGTCAGCGAAATCTGTCGTTCTAGACTAAAGGATAGCCCTCGAGCAAGTTTTGGTGAGTGGGCGGGATTCCAGCCAGGGTCTCCTCTGCCACCAAATGACGTAGGTATCTCTTCGCCCATGCCAGTATGAAAGCAAAGACGCCGCCCTCCTCTAAGACAGACGTTGGGGAGGTGAGACCCTTAAGGTCACCTCCCCAAGTTTTTTTTTGTTCGTATCATTGCACCTGGAAACTGCAGGTGTGCATGAGATTAGGCGGGATGCATGCATGCTTTTAATGTGAACAATTTTCACCATCACACCCAACCGTGCACTTTAGTTCCTGCTTTGAGACACGATCTTGCGGCGAGACTTGGTTGATCAATGTTTCTTCTTGTCCTTTGCCATTGCCAGTACATCTGTAGGGTTAGGTACATTACGGCTACATTGACAACAGGTTTTAGGCTAACTGTGTGGAGGCTGGCCAGGACACGTTTATTTTTTCGATTAAAATTGTGCGGTAGGTAGGAACACGCGTTCTTGCGGCACGCACGACGTCGTTTTTCCGAACAACAGTCGCGGGCTAACTTTTGATCGTATGCTTGCGTGCGACTCAGTTCGTGTACGCTTCGTCCATCCTGTACATGTCATGCCCTTAGGTGATGGCATGCGACATGTTCGCGTTCTTCGCCAGCCGTATGCATATTATGTCTGTATGTCTCTTGTAAAGATGGTTAAGGTTAGCCTTGTCACCATGCGTGCCCACCCTTCGTCTCGTGTACATGTACCCTATTCTGCTTCTAACGCTTGACACGTATGCTCCCACTCCTTACGTTCCATTTCTCGCCTGTGTCGTGTGTTGGGCGTTCAGGGTCAGCCATGTCCAGGAGTCGGGCTTTGTGGGGGAGTCCGTGTAAGGTTTTGTCTTAAAAGCTTATATAAACAGGTGTCACGTCAATATGTTGTTGCTTTTTAGGTAGTGTTATCGTTGGAAACGTGTAGGCGAATGTTCATTAAACCTCGCTTGCGAAACATCCATGTCTTTTTGTTTTCTTCTTGCCTCGTTTTGTTGAGCTGGGTTATCCCATAAAAACCGGTTGAACCGTGTGTCTGTTTGTAAACGCGTAGCACCCGCCTGGCGAAGTAGCCGGTAGAAAAATAGGCTGGTACGTGTTTAGCACTAAATTTAGCATAAGATTGCATAGACCTTATACATATGGAGCGGACGGAAAGAGTTTTAAGCTTTGTAGAAGAATCATCGCTGTACTTGTACGATGCTGGGGGCGGTGATAGAAAAGGTTACGTTCTCCGAACAGAGAGCGTCGTTTGTGTACCATCTCTCGGTATGTTGTAGGGTGCAGGATGTTTCCACGGAACAAAGCGATTTCGACCAACCAGAAAACCGCGTTTCTTGTGGAACGTCGAAGTCAGCGTCGATGCCCTTGACCTTGTTGTTTTGCGTGAAGCACTCCGACACCATCAGCGGTGTATACCAGCCTAACCATATGCCCTACACGCCAGCGGAGTAGGCAACACCATGGTTTTTTTATCACTTGGATGAGTGGGCGTTTTTTGTGCACGTACATGTGCATGTCGGGGGCTGTGCCCGTGCTTTGCATTTCTAGACGTGGGGTGAGCAGTAATGCTGCGGGTATTGGCCTTGGCAACAGCAGTGACAGCAGTTGCTGCGTGTACAGACGGGGGATGGATGCGTACACGTCAGCTGCGTTAGCCTGGGCGGCTGACGCAAATCCACACGGTGGATGTAGATGAAGGAGGCGTGTAGAAAATGGCCCCCGCCGGATGGGTGTGTCTTGTACTTTGGTGACTCGATAGACGTTGGAAAGCCAATAGCTCTGAGAGTATGAGCGCGCTTCTGTGGAAAAATATGTTTTTTTTTGTTTTTATCCAAGTACATGCGTGTGGAAATCGAGGTAGAGATAGATGCGGATTCACTCCGTGTCGTTACTTTTGCTCGTACGGGTATGTATGTACGATCTGCAAAATCAGGTGGGCAACACACTGCGTGTGACACGCGCGTCATGCTTCCGAGGTAGTTAGCGCATGGCGCAGCGTGTATGTTGTTGACCTATGTCTCATTTTAGATGGCGGCCTTGGGGGCAGGCGTCTTTTGGTTTGATGGTGGAGCGAAAGCAGAGTCGATCCTACTACACCTCCGTTGTTTCCACTACCGTTCCTAAGGGCTGCGCGATTGGTTGCTGTGTGCTATGACAGCACGCATCGAGAATATTCATAGAATAGTTTGTCTGTACTCCGGAGTAGAACTGCAAGCGTAGGAGGCGCTCTTTTCCCCTTTCGCAGCACGTCTTGTGTACCATGTCGCAGATTACACCATTATGGGGATGTGGTACAGTATGTCTTTGAAAGAGATTTTGTTCTTCCCGTTGTACAGTCAGTAGTACAGACACCCATGGTAGGGGCTTTACGAAGGTCAGCCAAGAAACGAGTGGAGTATTCTGCTACTGTAGATCGCGGCGTGACGAGGTCAGCGTGCCCAGAGTCTGTTTTCTTTGGCTCAGAAGTGCTCGTAAGATCACGGACTACCTGCTCGAGACACTACCTCAATCGAAAGGGGGTGTGTTTAATGAAGATTTTTGGAAGAAATCCTGAATCTCTCTGTAGATAGACTGCTATTTCCTTCTTTCACAAACATCACAAACAAATCAGTTCTGTCCACATGCTTCTAAATACTTGTGGCCCGTTCAAAGAGCTGGGCGGGGCGACATCAAGCTTGCTTACGTTCCCCTACCCTTGATGGGAAGCGAAAGTCAGTCTCCGTCTCGTTCTGTCGTGCGGAAGCGAGAACCCACATTCTGCCCCTCCCTCCCATCAATACTCCGACGCCACGTGTTTGACGACGCTGTACGTGTGTTCACCCGTACAAGAAGAAGAGACTATGCGGCATCAAGATATATGCGTCGTGCACCGCTTTGTTCTTTCTTGCTATGTACCACCACTTAGTATGCAACATTGACCTCCGTTTTTCGGTCGGTGCTTCGTACAGTACCGTCTCGGCCGCATGGGAAACCCTTGGGTTCGCGACCAAGGGGATGTGATGATAAACTACATCGAAAGTTTCGAAACCGTTTCGACATGACGGCATCGCAGACAACAGCACCTTGGACGAATAAACGTAAAGTACACAGTATTGGTATCACCCATCCATCTCGGCCGGCGGTACTAAGGAAATATGCAGCCACACAAGGTATACATGTCGTCCCCCGATTCCCACCGCGACGATGCATCAACCAACCCGCGCAACGTTTACTCTAACACAAAACGTCCAGGCAGCAGGAGGTCCTACAATCAATGCCCGTGACCACGCAGCAACAACGTCTCCCACCGTTCCTTCTCGACCTCACAGCTACAACAGGAGCAATGTCACTCGATGGTTAAAGATGCAACTCGAGTGCAAAGTCTGGTATGCATAAAACTGCTGCGGAGGGCGAATGAA